ACAGGAAAATTGTCAAATTCACACACTTATCAAGAGAACATTCCTGGTCATCCCTACTGCCTCTGATCTGGCGGACTCACTAAACACACATGCTTCGTGTGTAAATTATGTCTGAGTGTTGGAGTGTGCCCCTGGCTATCCGTAAATTAAAGTAAACAAGACAATGATGCCGTCTGGTTTGCTTAATAAAAGGAATTTGAAATGATTTATACTTTTACTTTTGATACTTAAGTATATTTTAGCAATTACATTTACGTATGATACTTAAGTATATTTCAAACCAAATCCTTTTAGACTTTTACTCAAGTAGTATTTTACTGGGTGACTTTCACTTTGACTTGAGTCATTTTCTATTAATGTATCTTTACTTTTACTCAAGTATGACGGTTCGGTTCTTTTTCCACCACTGCCGGCCTACTTGTAGTGGAGGTTTCAGGATCGAATGGAAAGGATGTTCTGTCTGCACCTCACCATCATGTTGGAGGGCAGCCTGCCTGTTCTGTCCACACCGCACCATCATGTTGGAGGGCAGCCTGCCTGTTCTGTCCACACCGCACCATCATGTTGGAGGGCAGCCTGCCTGTTCTGTCTGCACCTCACCATCATGTTGGAGGGCAGCCTGCCTGCAGAGGACTCTTTGCCAGCCGGGTAGAAATGTTCTCCCTCACAGATATCATAAAAAAATCGCCTGAATATGTAAATATCTTCATCCTATAATATTTAAGGCAGTGCGATGTTACAGCTGTTTATCTTTAAACATATAACCAGTAGCCACCCAAACTAGGCTTATTTGAAATATGAAAATGTTAAATCAAATTGCCAGGTAGCCTATTGTTCTGGCAAAGATGAGCAGTAGATTGCTAAACTGTATTTTCTATGGATGATAAACATCCAGGCCTACTCTGTTTTTGCCTGGCAAAACGGGAGGAAATTAAACAAATTATTTATTGTCACTAAGCTGGACGCCAATGCTGATAACTGGCCATTGTCAACAATCAAAACAAGCAACTTTTTGGTTCTGAAGCATAGATGAGAATTTAACAACGACTTGCAGGCAGAACAGCAACGACAAAAAAAATCCTATAGATATCTGTGTGCCTTGCAAAAGTATTCATCCCCCTTGGCGTTTTTCCAATTATGTTGCATTACAACCTGTAATTTAAATAGATTTTTATTTGGATTTCATGTAATGGACATACACAAATTAGTCCAAATTGGTGAAGTGAAATGAAAAAAATAACTTGTTTCAAAAAATTCTAAAAAATAAATAACGGAAAAGTGGTGCGTGCATATGTATTCACCCCTTTTGCTATGAAGCCCCTAAATAAGATCTGGTGCAACCAATTACCTTCAGAAGTTACATGATCTGTCACATTATCTCAGTATATATACACCTGTTCTGAAAGGCCCCAGAGTCTGCAACACCACTAAGCAAGGGGCACCACCAAGCAAGCGGCACCATGAAGACCAAGGAGCTCTCCAAACAGGTCAGGGACAAAGTTGTGGAGAAGTACAGATCAAGGTTGGGTTATAAAAAAATATCCGAAACTTTGAACATCCCACGGAGCACCATTAAAGTTAAATCCATTATTAAAAAATTTAAAGAATATGGCACCACAACAAACCTGCCAAGAGAGGGCCGCCCACCAAAACTCACAGACCAGGCAAGGAGGGTATTAATCAGAGAGGCAACAAAGGGACCAAAGATAACCCTGAAGGAGCTGCAAAGCTCCACAGCAGAGATTGGAATATCTGTCCATAGGACCACTTTAAGCAGTACACTCCACAGAGCTGGGCTTTATGGAAGAGTGGCCAGAAAAAAGCCATTGCTTGAAGAAAAAAATAAGCAAACACGTTTGGTGTTCGCCAAAAGGCATGTGGGAGACTCCCCAAACATAAGGAAGAAGGTAGTCTGGTCAGATGAGACTAAAATTGAGCTTTTTGGACATCAAGGAAAACACTATGTCTGGCGCAAACCCAACACCTCGCATCACCCCAAGAACACCATCCCCACAGTGAAGCATGGTGGTGGCAGCATCATGCTTTGGGGATGTTTTTCATCAGCAGGGACTGGGAAACTGGTCAGAATTGAAGGAATGATGGATGGCGCTAAATACAGGGAAATTCTTGAGGGAAACCTGTTTCAGTCTTCCAGAGATTTGAGACTGTGACGGAGGTTCACCTTCCAGCAGGACAAAGACCCTAAGCATACTGCTAAAGCAATACTTAAGCGGTTTAAGGGGAAACATTTAAATGTCTTGGAATGGCCTAGTCAAAGCCCAGACCTCAATCCAATTGAGAATCTGTGGTATGACTTGAAGATTGCTGTACACCAGCGGAACCCATCCAACTTGAAGGAGGTGGAGCAGTTTTGCCATGAAGAATGGGCAAAAATCCCAGTGGCTAAATGTGCCAAGCTTATAGAGACATACCCCAAGAGACTTGTAGCTGTAATTGCTGCAAAAGGTGGCTCTACAAAGTATTGACTTTGGTGGGGTGAATAGTTATGCACGCTCAAATGTTCCGTTTTTTTTGTCTTATTTCTTGTTTGTTCACAATAAAAAGTATTTTGCATCTTCAAAGTGGTAGCCTGTTGTGTAAATCAAATGATACAAACCCCCAAAAAATCCATTTAAATTATTTCACTTATAATTCACTGTATCACAATTCCAGTGGGTCAGAAGTTTACATACACTAGGTTGACTGTGCCTTTAAACAGCTTGGGAAATTCCAGAAAATGATGTAATGGCTTTAGAAGCTTCTGATAGGCTAATTGACATCATTTGAGTCAATTGGAGGTGTACCTGTGGATGTATTTCAAGGCCTACCTTCAATATCAGTGCCTCTTTGCTTGACATCATGGGAAAATCAAAAGAAATCAGCCAAGAATATCTATATCCACAGAAAAACAAGTCCTATATTGACATAACCTGAAAGGCCGCTCAGCAAGGAAGAAGCCACTGCTCCACAACCGCCATAAAAAAGCCAGACTACAGTTTGCAACTGCACATGGGGACAAAGATCATACTTTTTACCCCCAAGTTCTCTCACGTCACCCCGCTCCTCCGCACACTCCACTGGCTTCCAGTTGAAGCTCGCATCTGCTACAAGACCATGGTGCTTGCCTACGGAGCTGTGAGGGGAACGGCACCTCCGTACCTTCAGGCTCTGATCAGTCCCTACACCCAAACGAGGGCATTGCGTTCATCCACCTCTGGCCTGCTGGCTCCCCTACCTCTGCGCAAGCACAGTTCGCGCTCAGCCCAGTCAAAACTGTTCGCTGCTCTGGCACCCCAATGGTGGAACAAGCTCCCTCACGACGCCAGGACAGCGGAGTCACTCACCACCTTCCGGAAACATTTGAAACCCTGGCTATAAGGTGAATGCACCAATTTGTAAGTCGCTCTGGATAAGAAAATATAATAATAATTGACGTAAATGTAAAAATTTAAATGTGAAGCACGGGGGTGGCAGCAACATGCTGTGGGGGTGCTTTGCAGCAGGAGGGACTGGTGCACTTCACAAAATAGATGGCATCATGAGGAAGGAAAATTATGCTATGTTATATTGAAGCAACATCTCAAGACATCAGTCAGGAAGATTAAGCTTGGTCGCAAATGGGTCTTCCAAATGGACAATGACCCCAAGCATACTTCCAAAGTTGTGGCAAAATGGCTTAAGGACAACAAAGTCAAGGTATTGGAGCGGCCATCACAAAGCCCTGACCTCAATCCTATAGAAAAGTTGTGAGCAGAACTGAATAAGCGTGTGCGAGCAAGGAGGCCTACAAACCTGACTCAGTTACACTAGCTCTGTCAGGAGGAATGGGCCAAAATTCACCCAACTTATTGTGGGAAGCTTGTGGAAGGCTACCCGAAACGTTTGACCCAAGTTAAACAATTTAAAGGCAATGCTACCAAATACTAATTGAGTGTATGTAAACTTCTGACCCACTGGGAATGTGATGAAAGAAATAAAAGCTGAAATAAATCATTCTCTCTACTATTATTCTGACGTTTCACATTCTTAAAATATAGTGGTGATCCTAACTAACCTAAGACAGGGAATTTTTACTAGGATTAAATGTCAGGAATTGTGAGAAACTGAGTATAAATGTATTTGGCTAAGGTGTATGTAAACTTCCGACTTCAACTGTATATATACACAGTACCAGTCACATGTTTAGACACACCTACTCATTCAAGGGTTTTTCTTATTTTTTTCTATTTTCTACATTGTAGAATAATAGTGAAGACATTAAAACTATGAAATAACACATATGGAATCATGTAGTAACCAAAAAAGTGTTAAACAAATCAAAATATATGTCATATTTTAGATTCTTCTAAGTAGCCACCCTTTGACTTGATGACAGCTTTGCACACTCTTGGCATTCTCATTACACAGCAGCCTATACGCAATAATAGGCACTGTCCCATTATTCATCGATAAAAACAGTTACTGGGGCTGGATGAACATTAATGTTTGGGCCGACCAGGTGATGAGTAAAACTGGAAGATTATGCACAGTTTCATAGGTCTACCATCTCAAAGTCAACCATCACCCTGTGCTGCCTGCTCCTGCCTGTGACTGACTCCTGCGTCTGAGGTTTCACACCAACAGTGACAGCCATGGGGCTCCACTTCATTATCCTTCAGCAAAGGTTACACAATCATACAGTTTTGGTGTCTGTCTCTTTCCTAGTAGCCTACAATTGAAGATGCTGGCACACATCTGTTACGGAGCTGTCGTTGCCCAAGGGATTTTCCTCCAATTTTTATTTTCCTTCTTCAAAAAGTACTTTTAGGGGTTGGGGGTGCAATGCTCTGCCCCATGTTCTAAACACGCCAGCAGAAATGCGTTCAGATCGACGAACCGTTTCCTTCTGTGGAACTCTTGCGTCCTCTGGTGACAGATTATGGAAATACTGGTAGTGGAATCGATTACTCCTTAATCAACAGCATAAAGTCATGCCTGGTTGACATTTTCGATGCTCGACAGTGGACCTCAAAACAGAGTGGCAGTTGGCTATGTGTCTAGCTAGAGCATGTATTTGATTCAAATATGGAAAAGAAGAGGTTTAATATCAACCTAGACGACTCTGCCTTCACAAAAGAAAGAGCCCCGGTAAATAAATCGCTAATTAGTTAGCTAATCACCAGATATTTTTCAAGGTTGAACTTATTATTATATTATATTATAAGGTTGTAGGCTAGCTAGCTATTCTATCAATGCTAGTCTTGTTAGCTATCTAGCTAAGTTAGTAGTGCTGGCCAAAGCTACAGCAGAGATCTTTGGAGTCTCGAAACACTGGATACTGGTCTATCTTTTGCCCAGATTGTACTATTGGGTTGCAGTAGCAGACCAGACAACCAGTCCCACAAACCTCATCCGTAGCTAGTCTTTTTGACGTTACTGAAGTATGCTAGCTAAATTACTAAGATGTAAACGTTATTGTGGTTAACACCTACAAGGAAGGTTGAAGGTAGCAAGTGGTTGAAAATACAGTTTTCCGGTTGTAGGGTTTTGGACCTCCATACACTAGTCATAACTTTCCAACTTAGCATTGATGATTGTAGAGCATTACAATACACATTGCATATGTCATGTGTTAGAGAACTGCATGATCACATGATTAATAATAATAATAATAAGCCATTTAGCAGACGCTTTTATCCAAAGCGACTTACAGTCATGCGTGCATACATTTTTACGTATGGGTGGTCCCGGGGATCGAACCCACTACCTTGGCGTTACAAGCGCCGTGCTCTACCAGCTGAGCTACAGAGGATCACCCACCTTGTTCTCTTGCAGGTGAAACCCCTGTTCCAGCCTTCCTCTAAGGCAGGCCAGAGTGCATCATCATCATCATCATCAACCACCTCTGAGACCACAGCTCAGCCTGCACCCCAGTCTGCTGGCCAACCGCTATCATACGCGGAGTTCATTGTCCAGAGCAAAGGCCATGCTGCACCTCCGCTTCCACGGGTCCCCTCGGCTCCGCAGAGAGTGGGGCAGTCCAGGGTGGACGCTGGGACTGGGATAGAGACCGGGACTGGCAGTTTGAAGCAGGGTCCCAGTCAAGGAGTACAAGGTGGGCCTGATGTGACATCGTGTGAGAGGCCTCAGGACCAGGCCCAGGGGACAGAGTGTCCGGGTTCTGGTGGACCACCAAGGGTTACAGAGGGAGAGGAGGGGCAGAGGGCTGGGACCGAGCAGAAGCAGGAGGAGGGTCAAGGCGCAGAGGGCAGCAAAGTCCTGGGTCATCCTAAACCAGTGGGGTCTGGTAATAGTATCATAGTCAGCCCCAGACAGGTAAGAGTGATGGATGACAAAAAAAGCTACAGTTGAAAAAGTGTCATGTTTCTAGTTAAATGGTTGGGATACATTACCCCTAAGTAGCATTCTTACCAACATAATAATTGAATTTAAAGTCTTTGTTCAGAGAGGCTTTACCAATAGCTTAAGAAAGCTTTGATGTGTTGTCTTACTAATTAATCTTGATACCCTGGTTGTTATTGTGCAGAGAGGAAACCCCATTCTGAAGTTTGTGAGGAGTGTGCCTTGGGAGTTTGGAGAAGTGGTCCCTGACTATGTCCTGGGACAGACAACCTGCGCTCTCTTCCTCAGGTGTGTGTGTGTGTACAATACATGCTTTATGGACTTTTTACCCTGTGTTTGTGTGTGTAATTGTTGTGTGTGTGTGTGTAATTGTTGTGTGTGTGTGTGTAATTGTTGTGTGTGTGATGTGGCCTCTTGTGTTCCACTGAAACCTGTCATAATGTCAACCTCTCACCTAGTTAGTGAGTAACCGCTAACCACCTTTTATTTTCCTATTGTTTTATTCTGTGAACCTTTACACCTTGACTGTTGCTATGCAACGACTACTCTGGAACAAACTATGCTAGTCATGTTCTAATGGAAGAGGTTATCATAGTATCTCCCCCTTGTATTTGTGTCTGTGGTTATTGGTGTTGTCCTGGCTTGGCCTGTTGGTGTTGTCCTGGCCTGTTGGTGTTGTCCTGGCCTGTTGGTGTTGTCTTGGCCTGTTGGTGTTGTCCTGGCCTGTTGGTGTTGTCCTGGCCTGGCTCGTTGTTGGACCGGCAGTCTGAGGTACCACAACCTCAACCCCAGCTACATCCACGACCGTCTCAAACTGCTGGGCCAAACCTTCACCCTCAGGGTTCTACTGGTGCTAGTTGATGTGGTGAGGCTAGTAAACTGGTATTTTCTCCTCATTTATTGTTGAATTGAATTAACAAGAGGCCATGATTATAGTGTAAAAGTACTTTATACTGATACTTTTTCAGCTTGTTGAGTGATACACATCACATTGCAGCTTTGCCTAATACCCCACTCTCTCCCGTCCCTACTCTCCCTGGTGGTGTGTTGCAGAAAGACCCTCACCATTCTCTGAAAGAGCTGGCTCGTATCTGCATCATGGCTGACTGCACTCTCATCCTGGCCTGGAGGTAACACTCTCATCCTGGCCTGGAGGTAACACTCTCATCCTGGCCTGGAGGTAACACTCTCATCCTGGCCTGGAGGTAACCCTCTCATCCTGGCCTGGAGGTAACCCTCTCATCCTGGCCTGGAGGTAACCCTCTCATCCTGGCCTGGAGGTAACCCTCTCATCCTGGCCTGGAGGTAACCCTCTCATCCTGGCCTGGAGGTAACCCTCTCATCCTGGCCTGGAGGTAACCCTCTCATCCTGGCCTGGAGGTAACCCTCTCATCCTGGCCTGGAGGTAACCCTCAGTCAGGAATGGAGAGTAGCAGCTGTAGCCTATGTAATGACAGTGTTTGAGAGTGAAGATTTTAAGTTGGAACTTATTTTTCTTAACAGTCCAGAGGAGGCGGGGCGTTACCTGGAGACGTATAAGTCCTATGAGAAGAAACCAGCTGATCTGCTGAAGGAACATGTGGAGAAAGACTACCTGTCTAAGGTCTGAGCCAATATGGGCCATCACCAACACAGTCATATTAATACACTGAACTAAAATATCAACGCAACATGTAAAGTGTTGGTTTCATGAGCTGATGTAAAAGATCCCAGAAAATGTCCTTACACACAAAAAGCTTATTTCTCTCAAATGTTGTGCAGAAATGTGTTTACATCCCTGTTAGTGAGCATTTCTCCTTTGCCAAGATAATCCATATACCTGACAGGTGTGGCATATCAAGAAGCTGAGTAGACAGCATGATCATTACACAGGTGCACCTTGTGCTGGGGACAATAAAAGGCCACTTTAAAATGTGTGGTTTAGTCACACAACACAATGCCACAGATGTCTCAAGTTTTGAGGGATCGTGCAATTGGCATGCTGACTGCAGGAATGTCCACCAGAGCTGTTGCCAGATAATTTTATGTTAATTTCTCTTCCATAAGCCGCCTCCAACGTCGTTTTAAAGAATTTGGCAGAACGTCTAACCGGCCTATCAACCGCAAACCACATGTAACCACGCCAGCCCAGGACCTCCACATCCGGCTTCCTCACCTGTGGAATCGTGTGAGACCAGCCAGCCAACTAAATAATTTCTGCACAAACTGTCAGAAACCGTCTCGGGGAAGCTCATCTGCGTGCTCGTCGTCCTCAGCCAGGTCTTGAACTGACTGCAGTTTGGCGTTGTAACCGACTTCAGTGGGCAAATGCTCACCTTCGATGGCCACTGGCACGCTGGAGAAGTGGGCTTTTCACGGATGAATCCTAGTTTCGTCTTTACCGGGCAGATGGTAGACAGCGTGTATGGCGTCGTGTGGGCAAGCGGTTTGCTGATTGTCAACGTTGTGAACAGAGTGCCCCATGGTGGCGGTGGGGTTATGGTGTTGGCAGGCATAAGCTACGGACAACGAACACAATTGCATTTTACGATGGCAATTTGAATGCACAGACATACCGTGACGAGATCCTGAGGCCCATTGTCCTGCCATTCATTAGCCGCCATCACCTCATGTTTCAGCATGATAATGCACGTCCCCATGTCGCAAAAATCTGTACACAATTCCTGGAAGCTGAAAATGTCCCCGTTTTTCCATGGCCTGCATACTCACCAGACATGTCACCCATTGAGCATGTTTGGGATGCTCTGGATCGACATGTACGACAGCGTTTTCCAGTTCCCACCAATATCCAGCAAGAAGAATGGGACAGGCCACAACCAACAGCCTGAACAACTCTATGCGAAGGAGATGTGTCACGCTGCATGAGGCAAATGGTGGTCACACCAGATACTGACTGGTTTTCTGATCCACACTCTTTTTTTTAAAGGTATCTGTGATCAACAGATGCATATCTGTATTCCCAGTCATGTGAAATCCATAGATGAGGGCCTAATACATTTTTTCAATTGACTGATTTCCATATGAACTGTAACTTACTAAAGTCTTAGACAGGTAGTAAGTACACTGAACAAAAATGTCAAAGGTCTAAGCTGCTACAGGCCATAGCCAACAGTCATATTAATACTACCTGTCTAAGCTTCTACAGGCCATAGCCAACAGTCATATTAATACTACCTGTCTAAGCTTCTACAGGCCATAGCCAACAGTCATATTAATACTACCTGTTTAAGCTTCTACAGGCCATAGCCAACAGTCATATTAATACTACCTGTCTAAGCTGCTACAGGCCATAGCCAACAGTCATATTAATAATACCTGTCTAAGCTGCTACAGGCCATAGCCAACAGTCATATTAATACTACCTGTCTAAGCTTCTACAGGCCATAGCCAACAGTCATATTAATACTACCTGTCTAAGCTGCTACAGGCCATAGCCAACAGTCATATTAATACTACCTGTCTAAGCTGCTACAGGCCATAGCCAACAGTCATATTAATACTACCTGTCTAAGCTGCTACAGGCCATAGCCAACAGTCATATTAATACTACCTGAATAAGGTCTAAGCTTGTGGTCCTCTGTAGCTCAGCTGGTAGAGCACGGCGCTTGTAACGCCAAGGTAGTGGGTTCAATCCCCGGGACCACCCATACACAAAAATGTATGCACGCATGACTGTATGTCGCTTTGGATAAAAGCGTCTGCTAAATGGCATATTATTATTATTATTATTATAAGCTTCTACAGGCCATAGCCAACAGTCATATTAATACTACCTGTCTAAGCTGCTACAGGCCATAGCCAACAGTCATATTAATACTACCTGTCTAAGCTGCTACATGCCATAGCCAACAGTCATATTAATACTACCTGTCTAAGCTGCTACAGGCCATGGCCAACAGTCATATTAATACTACATGTCTAAGCTGCTACAGGCCATAGCCAACAGTCATATTAATACTACCTGTCTAAGCTGCTACAGGCCATAGCCAACAGTCATATTAATACCACCTGTCTAAGCTGCTACAGGCCATAGCCAACAGTCATATTAATACTACCTGTCTAAGCTGCTACAGGCCATAGCTAACACAGTCATATTAATACTACCTGTCTAAGCTGCAACAGGCCATAGCCAACAGTCATATTAATACTACCTGTCTAAGCTGCTACAGGCCATAGCCAACAGTCATGTTAATACTACCTGTCTAAGCTGCTACAGGCCATAGCTAACAGTCATATTAATACTACCTGTCTAAGCTGCTACAGGCCATAGCCAACAGTCATATTAATACTACCTGTCTAAGGTCTAAGCTGCTACAGGCCATAGCCAACAGTCATATTAATACTACCTGTCTAAGCTTCTACAGGCCATAGCCAACAGTCATATTAATACTACCTGTCTAAGCTTCTACAGGCCATAGCCAACAGTCATATTAATACTACCTGTCTAAGCTTCTACAGGCCATAGCCAACAGTCATATTAATACTACCTGTCTAAGCTGCTACAGGCCATAGCCAACAGTCATATTAATACTACCTGTCTAAGCTGCTACAGGCCATAGCCAACAGTCATATTAATACTACCTGTCTAAGCTTCTACAGGCCATAGCCAACAGTCATATTAATACTACCTGTCTAAGCTGCTACAGGCCATAGCCAACATTCATATTAATACTACCTGTCTAAGCTGCTACAGGCCATAGCCAACAGTCATATTAATACTACCTGTCTAAGCTGCTACAGGCCATAGCCAACAGTCATATTAATACTACCTGTCTAAGCTGCAACAGGCCATAGCCAACAGTCATATTAATACTACCTGTCTAAGCTGCTACAGGCCATAGCCAACAGTCATATTAATACTACCTGTCTAAGCTGCTACAGGACATGGCCAACAGTCATATTAATACTACCTGTCTAAGCTGCTACAGGCCATAGCCAACAGTCATATTAATACTACCTGTCTAAGCTGCTACATGCCATAGCTAACACAGTCATATTAATACTACCTGTCTAAGCTGCTACAGGCCATAGCCAACAGTCATATTAATACTACCTGTCTAAGCTGCTACAGGGCCATAGCTAACAGTCATATTAATACTACCTGTCTAAGCTGCTACAGGCCATAGCCAACAGTCATATTAATACTACCTGTCTAAGGTCTAAGCTGCTACAGGCCATAGCCAACAGTCATATTAATACTACCTGTCTAAGCTGCTACAGGCCATAGCCAACAGTCATATTAATACTACCTGTCTAAGCTGCTACAGGCCATAGCCAACAGTCATATTAATACTACCTGTCTAAGCTGCTACAGGCCATAGCCAACAGTCATATTAATACTACCTGTCTAAGCTGCTACAGGCCATGGCCAACAGTCATATTAATACTACCTGTCTAAGCTGCTACAGGCCATAGCCAACAGTCATATTAATACTACCTGTCTAAGCTGCTACAGGCCATAGCCAACAGTCATATTAATACTACCTGTCTAAGCTGCTACAGGCCATAGCCAACAGTCATGTTAATACTACCTGTCTAAGCTGCTACAGGCCATAGCCAACAGTCATGTTAATACTACCTGTCTAAGCTGCTACAGGCCATAGCTAACAGTCATATTAATACTACCTGTCTAAGGTCTAAGCTGCTACAGGCCATAGCCAACAGTCATATTAATACCTGTCTAAGCTGCTACAGGACATGGCCAACAGTCATATTAATACTACCTGTCTAAGCTGCTACAGGCCATAGCCAACAGTCATATTAATACTACCTGTCTAAGCTGCTACATGCCATAGCTAACACAGTCATATTAATACTACCTGTCTAAGCTGCTACAGGCCATAGCCAACAGTCATATTAATACTACCTGTCTAAGCTGCTACAGGGCCATAGCTAACAGTATATTAATACTACCTGTCTAAGCTGCTACAGGCCATAGCCAACAGTCATATTAATACTACCTGTCTAAGGTCTAAGCTGCTACAGGCCATAGCCAACAGTCATATTAATACTACCTGTCTAAGCTGCTACAGGCCATAGCCAACAGTCATATTAATACTACCTGTCTAAGCTGCTACAGGCCATAGCCAACAGTCATATTAATACTACCTGTCTAAGCTGCTACAGGCCATAGCCAACAGTCATATTAATACTACCTGTCTAAGCTGCTACAGGCCATGGCCAACAGTCATATTAATACTACCTGTCTAAGCTGCTACAGGCCATAGCCAACAGTCATATTAATAGTACCTGTCTAAGCTGCTACAGGCCATAGCCAACAGTCATATTAATACTACCTGTCTAAGCTGCTACAGGCCATAGCCAACAGTCATATTAATACTACCTGTCTAAGGTCTAAGCTGCTACAGGCCATAGTCAACAGTCATATTAATACTACCTGTCTAAGCTGCTACAGGCCATAGCCAACAGTCATATTAATACTACCTGTCTAAGCTGCTACAGGCCATGGCCAACAGTCATATTAATACTACCTGTCTAAGCTGCTACAGGCCATAGCCAACAGTCATATTAATACTACCTGTCTAAGCTGCTACAGGCCATAGCCAACAGTCATATTAATACTACCTGTCTAAGCTGCTACAGGCCATAGCCAACAGTCATATTAATACTACCTGTCTAAGCTTCTACAGGCCATAGCCAACAGTCACATTAATACTACCTGTCTAAGCTTCTACAGGCCATAGCCAAAAGTCATATTAATACTACCTGTCTAAGCTGCTACAGGCCATAGCTAACACAGTCATATTAATACTACCTGTCTAAGGTCTAAGCTGCTACAGGCCATAGCCAACAGTCATGTTAATACTACCTGTCTAAGCTTCTACAGGCCCCATAGCCAACAGTCATATTAATACTACCTGTCTAAGCTGCTACAGGCCATAGCTAACAGTCATATTAATACTACCTGTCTAAGCTGCAACAGGCCATAGCCAACAGTCATATTAATACTACCTGTCTAAGCTGCTACAGGCCATAGCCAACAGTCATATTAATACTACCTGTCTAAGGTCTAAGCTGCTACAGGCCATAGCCAACAGTCATATTAATACTACCTGTCTAAGGTCTAAGCTGCTACAGGCCATAGCCAACAGTCATATTAATGCTACCTGTCTAAGCTGCAACAGGCCATAGCCAACAGTCATATTAATACTACCTGTCTAAGCTGCTACAGGCCATAGCCAACAGTCATATTAATACTACCTGTCTAAGCTGCTACAGGCCATAGCCAACAGTCATATTAATACTGCCTTATCTCAACTGCTACAGGCCATAGCCAACAGTCATATTAATACTACCTGTCTAAGCTGCTACAGGCCATAGCCAACAGTCATGTTAATACTACCTGTCTAAGCTGCTACATGCCATAGCCAACAGTCATATTAATACTACCTGTCTAAGCTGCTACAGGCCATAGCCAACAGTCATATTAATACTACCTGTCTAAGCTTCTACAGGCCCCATAGCCAACAGTCATATTAATACTACCTGTCTAAGCTGCTACAGGCCATAGCCAACAGTCATATTAATACTACCTGTCTAAGCTGCTACATGCCATAGCCAACAGTCATATTAATACTACCTGTCTAAGCTTCTACAGGCCATAGCCAACAGTCACATTAATACTACCTGTCTAAGCGGCTACAGGCCATAGCCAACAGTCATGTTAATACTACCTGTCTAAGCTGCTACAGGCCATAGCTAACAGTCATATTAATACTACCTGTCTAAGCTGCTACAGGCCATAGCCAACAGTCATATTAATACTACCTGTCTAAGCTGCTACAGGCCATAGCCAACAGTCATGTTAATACTACCTGTCTAAGCTGCTACAGGCCATAGCCAACAGTCATGTTAATACTACCTGTCTAAGCTGCTACAGGCCATAGCTAACAGTCATATTAATACTACCTGTCTAAGCTGCTACAGGCCATAGCCAACAGTCATATTAATACTACCTGTCTAAGCTGCTACAGGCCATAGCCAACAGTCATATTAATACTACCTGTCTAAGCTTCTACAGGCCCCATAGCCAACAGTCATATTAATACTACCTGTCTAAGCTGCTACAGGCCATAGCCAACAGTCATATTAATACTACCTGTCTAAGCTTCTACAGGCCCCATAGCCAACAGTCATATTAATACTACCTGTCTAAGCTGCTACAGGCCATAGCCAACAGTCATATTAATACTACCTGTCTAAGTTCCAAGCTGCTACAGGCCATAGCCAACAGTCATATTAATACTACCTGTCTAAGCTGCAACAGGCCATAGCCAACAGTCATATTAATACTACCTGTCTAAGCTGCTTCAGGCCATAGCCAACTGTCATATTAATACTACCTGTCTAAGCTGCTACAGGTCCATAGCCAACAGTCATATTAATACTACCTGTCTAAGCTGCTACAGGCCATAGCTAACACAGTCATATTAATACTACCTGTCTAAGCTGCTACAGGTCCATAGCCAACAGTCATATTAATACTATCTGTCTAAGGTCTGAGCTTCTACATGGCATAGCCAACAGTCACGTATACAGTACTTCTACAGGAAATTGTAGAATTAAAATCCCGATTTTTAATGAAGTGTTTTGTTTTTACAGGTGACAGACTGTCTGACCACTGTGAAGTCTGTCAACAAGACTGACTCCATCACTCTGCTGTCTACCTTTTCTGTAAGAGGCTTTCAGTATGTTGACATGAACAGTACTAATACTACTACTACTGCACTCAAATGATTTGTCTTGAGTTGGCTGAGAGATGCTCTTTCTCAGTCCTTAGAGGGGATCATCGATGCGTCTAAAGAAGACCTGGTTCTCTGTCCTGGACTGGGACCACAGAAGGTGAGCAGAGAGGAATGTGTTCGATTGACGGAAGGAGAGGAGTAGTATTCACTTGAATCTAAAATATGACCTTCAACGTTAATTATTATAATTCAGTGTGATTGTTTCCAAACATCGATGGTTATTTCAAAACCCATTTAGGAAAAGATATCCTCGTTTTTAGAATCTTCATCATTCGAACAGTGTCACTTTTCCTTGGTTAGTCTCCGTTATTGAGAGGTGACGTGTTTGATTGCTGTGTCCCACAGGCCAGACGCCTCTATGACGTGCTACACCAGCCCTTCCTCAAGGCCAGGAAGAAAGACGGCTGACCCACAGACGGTCCTTACTACTGGACTGTACTGTTGACCTGCTGCTCAGCAGGGAACTGGCTTCCATTATGACCCATCTCCACCCTAAGGACTGGTTCAACTGGGAACAGGACACATTATGGCCCACCTCCACCCTAAGGACTGGTTCAATTGGGAACAGGACACATTATGGCCCATCTCCACCCTAAGGACTGGTTCAACGGGGAACAGGACACATTATGACCCGTCTCCACCCTAAGGACTGGTTCAACTGGGAACAGGACACATTATGACCCACCTCCACCCTTAGGACTGGTTCAACTGGGAACAGGACACATTATGGCCCATCTCCACCCTAAGGACTGGTTCAACTGTAATGTAATGTCAGTGGGGTTTTTTCAGTCGAGCAGTGAATTTCATTCACAGATTCAACCACAAAGACCCGGGAGGTTTTCCAATGCCTTGCAAAGAACGGCACCTATTGGTAGATGGGTAGAAATAATAAAAGCAGACATTGAATATCCCTTTGACCATGGTCAAGTTATTAATTACACATTGGATGGTGTATCAATTCACCCAGTCTTTACAAAGATACAGGCGTCCTTCCTAACTCAGTTGCTGGAGAGGAAGGAAACCGCTCAGGGATTTCACCATGAGGCTAATGGTGACTTTAAAACAGTTACAGAGTTTAATGGCTATGATAGGAGAAAGCTGAGGAAGCATCAACAACATTGTAGTTACTCCACAATACTAACCTAATTTACAGAGTGAAAAGAAGGAAGCCTGTACAGAATAAAAATATTCCAAAACATGCGTCCTGTTTGCAACAAGGCACTAAAGTAATATTGCTAAAAATGTGGCAAAATAATTACCTTTTTGTCCTGAATACAAAGTGTTATGTTTGGGGCAATCCAATACAACATATTACTGAGTACCACTCTCTGTATTTTCAAGAATAGTGGTGGCTGCATCATGTTATGGTTATGCTTGTAATCATTAAGGAATGGGGAGTTTTTCAGGATAAAAAACAAATGGAATGGAGCTAAGCACAGGCAAAATCCTAGGGGAAAACCTTGTTCAGTCTGCTTTCCACCAAACACTGGGAGATGAATTCACCTTTCAGCAGGACAATAACCTAAACCACAAGGCCAAATCTACACTGGAGCTGCTTATCAAGAAGGCAGTGAATGTTCCTGAGAGGCTGAGTTACAGTTTTGACTTAAAGCTGCTTGAAAATCTATGACAAGACTTGAAAATGCTTGTCTAGCAATGAGCAACAACCAATTTGACAGAGCTTGAAGAATTTCGAAAAAAGAAAAAGTATATACAATCCTGGTGTGGAACGCTCTTAAAGACTTACCCAGAAATACTCACAGCTGTAATCGCTGCCAAAGGCGGTTCTAACGTGTTGACTCAGGGGTGTGAATACTTATGTAAATTATAAATGTCTGTATTTCATGGTTTTTTTTTTTTTTTTATCTAACATTTCTTCAAACATGTTTCTACCCCTTTTTCGTGATATCAAATTGATAGTTACAGTCTTGTCCCATCGTTGCAACTCCCATACGGACTTGGGAGAGACCAAGGTCGAGAGCTGTGCGTTCTCCGAAACTGCCAAGCCGCACTGCTTCTTGACGCACTGCACGCTTAACCCAGAAGCACCAATGTGTTGGAGGAAACACTGTACAACTGGTGACAGTGTCAGCGTGCATTCACCCGGCCAGCCACAGGAGTTGCTAGAGCGCGTGATAGGACAAGGACAGCCCGACCAGCCAAACCCTCCCCTAACCCGGACGACGCTGGGACAAGTTTGCGCCACCTCACGGGTCTCCCGGTCGCAGCCGGCTGTGACACAGTCTGGGATCGAACCCGAGTCTAGTGACGCCTCAACCACCGCAATGCAGTGCCTTAAACCGCTGCGCCACTCAGGAGGCCTTTGTAGTACATTGTGATAGTAGAATAAATATTTGAGTCATATCGATGACGCATAGGCTATTTTCTAAATGAGAAGTTGTTTTTTTACGGGTAGTTGCTCTTTAAAATACAAGGGGAATACACCAGGCCCTAGCTATGAACCAGCCTACCACCTCAAAGCTCCCCTCTTCTAACTGAATACATGCAAGATGTGCTGTTGTGGATGATTTGCAGTGGTGATAAATTAGATTTACAAAATAACAAGGCACTTCAATCTATTGTCTTTCCCATTCACCCTCTGAATGACACACATACACAATCCATAAAAATCCTTCTTTAACCTGCCTTTCTTCCCTTCATCTACACTGATTTAAAGTGGATTTAATAAGTGACATCAATAAGGGATCATAGCTTTCACCTGGACTCACCTGGCCAGCTTGTACAGAGGGATAATGGCAATTAATTTGTATGTCTCTGCTTACAGTTTGAAGGAAGTTAAAGGTAGTTTCTGGAGGCATTGCTAACTTGCGCAATGACTGGAAGTCTACAGGAGCAGCTAGCATGCTAAATGGCAGCTAACATGCTAAATGGCAGCTAGCATGCTAAATGGCAGCTAGCATGCTAAATGGCAGCTAGCATGCTAAATGGCAGCTAACATGCTAAATGGCAGCTAGCATGCTGAACTATCCCTTTAAAACATTCAAAGTAAAACCAGGCATGATAGGGACGTTCTTTTCCTTCCACCGGAGAATGAGTCTCCTCTCCTCCATCACAGTTCACTTGTTTTGGTGGACAGACTGGCACCTTACCTAATCTCCATCTGGTGGACAGACTGGCACCTTACCTAACCTCCATCTGGTGGACAGACTGGCACCTTACCTAACCTCCATCTGGTAGACAGACTGGCACCTTACCTAACCTCCATCTGGTGGACAGACTGGCACCTTACCTAACCTCCATCTGGTGGACAGACTGGCACCTTACCTAACCTCCATCTGGTAGACAGACTGGCACCTTACCTAATCTCCATCTGGTGGACAGACTGGCACCTTACCTAACCTTCATCTGGTGGACAGACTGGCACCTTACCTAACCTTCATCTGGTGGACAGACTGGCACCTTACCTAACCTCCATCTGGTGGACAGACTGGCACCTTACCTAACCTCCATCTGGTAGACAGACTGGCACCTTACCTAACCTCCATCTGGTGGACAGACTGGCACCTTACCTAACCTCCATCTGGTGGACAGACTGGCACCTTACCTAACCTCCATCTGGTAGACAGACTGGCACCTTACCTAACCTCCATCTGGTGGACAGACTGGCACCTTACCTAACCTCCATCTGGTGGACAGACTGGCACCTTACCTAACCTTCATCTGGTGGACAGACTGGCACCTTACCTAACCTCCATCTGGTGGACAGACTGGCACCTTACCTAACCTCCATTTGGTGGACAGACTGGCACCTTACCTAACCTCCATCTGGTAGACAGACTGGCACCTTACCTAACCTCCATCTGGTGGACAGACTGGCACCTTACCTAACCTCCATCTGGTGGACAGACTGGCACCTTACCTAACCTTCATCTGGTGGACAGACTGGCACCTTACCTAACCTCCATCTGATGGACAGACTGGCACCTTACCTAACCTCCATCTGGTGGACAGACTGGCACCTTACCTAACCTCCATCTGGTGGACAGACTGGCACCTTACCTAACCTCCATCTGGTAGACAGACTGGCTTCTTACCTAATCTCCATCTGGTAGACAGACTGGCACCTTACCTAATCTCCATCTGGTGGACAGACTGGCACCTTACCTAACATCCATCTGGTGGACAGACTGGCACCTTACCATTTACATTTACATTTACATTTAAGTCATTTAGCAGACGCTCTTATCCAGAGCGACTTACAAATTGGTGCATTAACCTTATAGCCAGTGGGATAACCACTTTACAATGTTTTATTTTTTATTTTTTGGGGGGTGGGTTGGGGTAAGGGGGGGGTAGAAGGATTACTTTATCCTATCCCAGGTATTCCTTAAAGAGGTGGGGTTTCAAATGTCTCCGGAAGGTGGTGAGTGACTCCGCTGTCCTGGCGTCGTGAGGGAGCTTGTTCCACCATTGGGGTGCCAGAGCAGCGAACAGTTTTGACTGGGCTGAGTGGGAACTATGCTTCCGCAGAGGTAGGGGAGCCAGCAGGCCAGAGGTGGATGAACGCAATGCCCTCGTTTGGGTGTAGGGACTGATCAGAGCCTGAAGGTAAGGAGGTGCCGTTCCCCTCACAGCTCCGTAGGCAAGCACCATGGTCTTGTAACAGATGCGAGCTTCAACTGGAAGCCAGTGGAGTGACCAAACCTCCATCTGGTGGACAGACTGGCACCTTACCTCCATCTGGTAGAGTGAGGTGGGAGGCTAAAGTAATAGAGGACATTTTTGGGACAGTGGCAGACAAGAACATGTCAGAAATAGGAGGGGGATGCAACCAGCTCACTGAATGACCTCGGCACCAGGGCAAGGTACACTGAATGACCTCTGGACACCAGGGCAAGGTGCACTGAATGACCTCTGGACACCAGGGCAAGGTGCACTGAATGACCTCTGGACACCAGGGCAAGGTACACTGAATAACCTCTGGAAACCAGGGCAAGGTACACTGAATGACCTCTGGACACCAGGGCAAGGTGCACTGAATGACCTCTGGACACCAGGGCAAGGTGCACTGAATGACCTCTGGACCAGTGGCGGCTCCTGAAAAAATTCTCAGGGGGGGCAATTTTTCTGATGATTTAGGTGACCTACACACATTTTAAAAAAGATATGTCCAGCAACAACATGAAGACAGGGGCAGCATATAAGTCAATACCAGAAGCATTTATTGACTGATCTCAAAAGTGTTGGCTTACCAGGGTTGGTGGAGCCCTCAGTTTCATCTTTGCCTCGCAAAGCTAACTCAAACACTCCGCAAAACTTCACACACTGGATTAGCCGGCTGAGGATGTGGCGGTTCTTGCTAATGTCGTAGTAAATATATTTGTTATAGTGAATATGGAATATGATATGTTGAGTAAAATGTTGTGCTAAGATCTATTTAGGTCAGGAGCTGGTTATAAGTTCTGTTCCTATCCAATAACAATGGACAAAAGGGTCCTATCTTGTCAGCCTTGTCAGCAGGTGGCCAAGGACAACACCCACGCCATAGGCCTCTCAGTTCTTCCAACTCACGA